TCGTTACCAGGTCATAAAATAATTTGAAAATATGTATTTCAAGACGCAAAGGGTCCAAATAGTACCAAGTAAAATACCAAAAAACAAATTTACAATATTTCTTTTTTTAGTTAGGTTGTATTACATACAACGAATGTGTAAAACGTTTAGTAATAATTATACACCATGAATAAAAATGAACAACACGATATCATTTCTGTTAACAAAAAAAATAATTACAAGGACATAAATTGGTCACTAAATCATCGGCGTGTGGGTTAAATAACACCCTAACAGTAGCAGATGCGGGTCGGTGATCGAAATATGTTATCTGATATACTACTCAGATAACACTGTTGACCATTAATGAATCATTTAGTCGCATTTTTCAAGACACGCGTATAGAGATGAGGTGGTAATATTCTAGTACACCACTTAGTATAACAACACACTTTCATATTTGATTATTCCTATAAAATGTTCCTAAATTAAAATCAATCGAACTCTGTGTAGTTTCGCTGTCGTATAAATAACACTAGATGATGACCGAGCTTTGCTCGACTTTTTATTTTATTTTTATAACGCCATCTTGTTGTGTCTTTAAAGCAGTAAAAATAGTATTATTATTCGCCAATGGATGTCGGAAAGAGTGATAAAGTTGATTATTGAAAACACGAATAAAACAACATTTTCTGAAAATAAATCGTAGCTAGATCGATTTATCGCCCCCGAAATCCCCTGTATACAAAATTTTATGAAAATCGTTGGAGCCGTTTCCGAGATTCAGATTATATATACAAGAATTGCTCGTTTAATGGTATAGGATTATTTGCTTTTATTGTCAGCCCTAACTTGTTATTTCGTCGTAATTTTCAAAAGAATGTCGTGTTTCCTTAAACGAACCGTGAAAGATACGACGGCTGTCGGCAACCGTGTTTCGACATAGAAAAACGATACTTTTTGTCGTATTTCAAGCTAATTCAGAAATTGGTTATAGATTGTACCGTGCAGACGAGACGCGACGACTTTAGTTGAATCTAAGTTGGGATTGAGCAATTTGAAGCTTCAGTAAAAGTTGACCATAGAACTCGGGAGATGAGGTCTCGCTCACGACATGATTTGTGATGATAAAAAGCACGATAAGAACATAAACAGGAGGATAAACAGGGTGTCAACTACCAAATAATGAGCGCTTCGATTTTTTTTTATTGCTTAGGTGGATGGACGAGCTCACAGCACGCATGGTGTTAAGTGGTTACTGGAGCCCATAGACATCTACAACGTAAATGCGCCATCCACCTTGAGATATAAGTTCGAAGATCTCAAGTATAGTTACAACGGCTGCCCCAGCCCCACCCTTCAAACCGAAACGCATTACTGCTTCACGGCAGAAATAGGCAGGGTGGTGATACCTACCCGTGCGGACTCACAAGAGGTCCTACCACCAGTAAATTCACAAGAGGAAGAGAGAATTAGCGCACCAAATAAAGTAGTGAGCGAGAATCATCTCTCGAGTGCAAACAAACCTTACTTCCCGATGATCCGTTTATGATAAAAAGAATTGGGCCTATATAGTTCGAATTGTACATCGCAAAGATACAAGCGTTTCGTTGTCTATACAGACAGATATACCTACTGAATTAACACGGGACGAAAAGTTGTAGGGCGCCCGGAGCTAATTAATTCAATTAGCGTCAGTTAACTTTTTGAATGTTGATTAGAACTTTTTCTTCGGACTATCACTGTAATTTTGAGTTTCTATTTTAGCAGTTCAATTCAAATGATAAATTAAAAAAAAAAAACTAGTGCTTGTATTTGTGATATTTCGGTAGTGATAAATAAATATATTTTTAGGAACCAGTTGTGAAGTATTTAAAAAAAATTAGCAATTATCCCCTCAAAGGGCACGTAAATAACAACCTTTAACAAGGGCTTCCTCTGTTCCAAATATTATTTGAGTCCCACAAATATTTACAAGATATTATTAAGTCAATATCCTCTCTATTATTACTGAGAAGCAATAATAAGTTTTGGTTTGTATGAGATTGTAGTTGTTATTTTAATATTAATTACATTAAAATAAAAGTCCGAGACAAGGTTATGTCGTAATGTGAGTGCTGATATTCGCGCCATGGTTGATACTTAGCTCAAATTATAATCACTGACATTACGAAAAAATTTTCTCGTAAATTCCACTTGTTTTTAATTAGATGTGTGTACCGGGAATCGAGATTGTTTGAAAAAAAAACAATTATTTGTGAAAACACCGTAGATCATTGATACTGGGTTTCAATAGAGTCGTAACAATAAGCTCAGAGAATAAATTTGTTGAAATATTGATTGTTAATTTGTTCGTTTTTTGCAAATAAATAATAGTTTAAAAAACTAAACAAACACGCTTTTATAGAAAAATCCAACTAAAAAAATCAATATAGAAAATAAATTTATTGTTAAGAACAAGCGTGGAGCACATACGTGGTGTCAATAGTTATAAACATTTTATTGACAAATATTATGAGTAGAAAGATTATAGAAGGATAATAATTTTGATAATATCTTAAAAAACACCTTCTTGGGTTCACCTATTTATTATAAGAAATGTTGCATTAATTACATTTATGAATGTATTTAATCAAATCTTTTACATTTGTAATTCACGCTTACGTAAAAATAAAACATTACAAACAAAAACATCTTGGGTTCACCTATTATAAGAAATGTCGCGTTAATTACATTTATGAATGTATTTAATCATCTTTTACATTTGTAATTCATGCTTACGTAAAAATAAAACATCACAAACAAAAACACCTTCTTGGGCTCACCTATTATAAGAAATGTTGCGTTAATTACATTTCTGAATGTATTTAATCATCTTTTACATTTGTAATTCACGCTTACGTAAAAAAAAACATTACAAAGAAAAACATCTTCTTGGGTTGACCTTATTATAAGAAATATTTCGTTAAAATATATGAATGTATTTAATAATCATTTTACATTTGTAATTCATGCTTACGTAAAAAAAAAACATTACAAACATGAGTGCTACGTATGTTATTCTGAAAGAAATTATGTGTTGCCGCAGAACTCCTATTACGGAAACTCCGTCGACATTAAGTTTAGTAACGACACTCCCATACCGGACCCGACGTGAATGGGTTCACAGGTAACATGTTTGATAAGTCTAGAATGTAGCTTTAATTAATTTAGCTTAATAGAACCGAGCACTCCCATATTAGGTGACTCATCTTTTTATAGACAGAGCTCGCATAGGGCACGTTTGTTATTATAACCTAGATAAAATTCACGATTTTCTTTTGTTAGTGCTAAATGAGCAGAACAGATAGAGAGATGAGTAAAGATCGAAGTCTTAATTATATAGTACAACGGCTGTTCAACCAGTGGTAGGACCTCTTGAGTCCGCAACCTATGCCTATTTCTGCCGTGAAGCAGTAATGCGTTTCGGTTTGGGTGGGGCAGCCGTTGTAACTAAATTAAGACCTTAGAACCTATATCTCAAGATGGGTAGCTCATTTATGTTGTATTGGGCTCCAGTAACCACTTAATACCAAGTGGGCTGTGAGCTCGTCCACCCATCTAAGCAATAAAAAAAACATGCTCAGTCGGTGGCAACATGGCTGTTTTTCGGCAGATATAGGCAGTTTGGTACCTACCCTTGCGGCTGCATAAAACGCCCCACTATCTTTATGAAAGTAATTGGTATTAATTACCAAATAAACAAAAGCAGGATTGTAGTACGCGTACCTTCTTTGAGGTTTTATCTTCATCTTTTAGTAGTACCTATACGTGCGGGCGTCTTAACACCAGTAAGGACTGGTAGTAAGACGCCCGTACGGTCCGACGGTCCCGACGGTCGTAAGTATAGGTATTTAGGTACGTTGATTGTTGACAAAAAAAACTTGTTAATAGTATACTATGTTATAGTATATACTATAGTATAAGCTATAGTATAAGCTATAGTATACTATGCTGTACATAATGCGTACCTACATCAAGGGTTCAAGAGAAGTTTTCTGTAACGAGCCGAAGGGATTCAGGGTTTGTCCTAAGCGCTTTGATGTGACTATTAACGGTTTATCTGTGTCGATGACATTTCTGAATTCCATTAGCGACGATGATGACGTATCTACGTGATTGTTTTTTTTTTCTCAAAATAACCCGAGAGCAATAATGCTTTAAGCCCTATTTCGTATATTTTGAAGTCACACATCCAATTCGCTAATTCGAAATGCAATCATAAGAGAGGTGAAACGAAAATTCAGTGTTACCGGTTCAAAAAGTTTGTGTCGTTTTGTTTAGTAACACTAGTTCTAGTAACACTAGAACATTTTTCGAAATATTTTGATCTAAGGCCCTAAATTTTTATATTCTAGATTCTCTACATTAACTAAGAAATAATTTTCAATGACTTATATTTAACTGGAGTAGCTTGAAAGTAGAAAGGTATCCTGGGAAATGTCTGTATGTAGGTACATACATATGTATATGTCTATAAGCTATCTTGAGACGCTAGATCCACGTCTTCTTGGTGGAAAATCCAAGATGAAGAAAGATTTACGACGGACATAGGAAGCATGATTGTTCCGACCTGTGTGGGCTCATAGCATACCACATCATTTGTAGGCTCAAGGTCGGAATTACGGGGAGAGAATAAAAGAAGTCGGACAGGATAACAAAGATAAGTGATTGAAGTCCGTGGCCTAAAGGATAAGACGTCCGGTGCATTCATTTTGATGGAGGCTGCGTAGAGTCAGTGGCTGGAAAAGCTTGATTATCTATGTCTAGACTATTATTATGTAAGGTCCAGAAAATTGTTTTTTATGAAATTAGATGAACAATGAATCTGAATTATTATCAGAGTAATAATGAAGAAAAAAAGTTTTCAAACGTTGTGCAAGTTTTTTTAAAATATTCTAAGTAGTGAAGTCTTTTTTTTTAGTATTATATTATGTTTCCTAAATATATATTTATCATGTGAGTTAATGTAAGTAACATACCTTTAATTTAGATTTGTGTACAACGTCATTATTTTGCAACGAATCAAACGCATACCATATACAGTTCGTCACGTTTTTCAAAAGAGCAGTCATTTTTCACAAATTAAATTTGAAACGACATCAAATCAAACACTATCGTCTTTGAATTGATAACACGCGCGAAACAAACAAGTAGCCTCACCGCTTTTGAAATCCATACTGAAGCGAACAGCGATCGACTATTGAGTGAGTCACTGAGCGAATTAGGGCTTGTGCCGACGATGATTCTACTGCCAATCAAAGCTACCCAAAGACATTGCCAGCCTGCTGAAACATGTCGCCGCGTCTCCGTGTCGCCTATAATGATTCAATTATCATATACTTTCTATAATTGAACACCTATTTACGTCTTAAAGTGGTAATCTGTTGAGTTTCTACATAATTTTATTTAGTGTTCTATTATCGTTCTAAGATAATCACAGAAATTGCAACTATTTACATGCAACAACCCTATCTTCAAGATTCAATGAAATTCGCGATATTGCTTTGTTTTTTATTAATTTATGCTTGGCCTCTTTTTTATTTTGACATATCCATACAGGCTATGATTTGTTTTTTAAAACGTGTTCAGAATGCGAAATCTGTGATGCTTATGCTCAGCAATGTATTTTATGTTTGAAAAACGACGTAAATCAAAACTGCGTACGTTATTATGGCAAATCTAGTGACGCAGCAGGAATACGTCTTGCCGTCTACATCAGCCTTTACAATGGAGAGCGCGAGTGAAGTGACATCGCCACAGACTATACAATATAATTGGATGGGAGCAATGATATCCGAACATTTTATGCGAGGGTCGTATTATTTGATAATGAGAGTAAGAATTTCGCTGGAAAACCTTGACCTTACAAGTGCTTTTTTTAATCAGAAAAATGTTTTGGTTAACGTAAACATCTTTGACGACTATAAAACACGGGTGTTATATTAATAGAGGCATAATGATGAATCTTGTAAATGAAATTTGTACATACATATATATTTCATAGTAATTTCTACAACTCCCATAAATTTTATGTAAAGTTCATTAATAAAGGCTTATTAATAAAGACGTTTCAACAGTTTAGGAGATTGTGTATTGGTAAATTTGGTAATACGGTCAAGTGCAGCTGTGCGATAAACATTTGCTTAACTTTTTTCTGAGAACTCTGATGTATGTATGTGTCCATTCTTCTAAGCAAACCAGTGTACAATGTACAGTGTGAGGATAGTTAACGAAAAGTTAACTTTTAGAGAAAAATATCTTCAGAGAACATTTTAAAAACTCAGGAACGATTATTAGGTAATCAATTATACGCGTAAGACGCATCATTTACATAACAATCGCTATTTTTCAGATAGGAATTCTGAGTGTTGACATAAGCACGATATCGCATTAAACATAGGTCTACAAACACTAAAAAGTACACCGAAAAGTTAGGTACCAAAGAGTTTCACCGATTTTTCTACTTGAATAGCACAAGTTCACGAATTACTTCCAAGATAGAAGAACCCTGAACTGGACATTTTCAACACTCCTACTAAGATTATTAGGAGAACATTAATCAGTCGATGGTTGAATGCAAATATTTAATTAATTAATTTCTATTTACTACATTTTCTGGGTTTTTTTTCTAATTGTTGTTATTTTTTGTTTTTGTTTTACGTTTTAATTTTAGGCGATGCGTCGCCACAATTGTTTGTAGTTATTTAAATGCGGAGACATTTAAATGGTGTTTAGTTGTAAGGTTATATTTTATATTGTTTAAGTTCACTGTTTGTCTTCCAAATAAAATAAAATAACGTTATATAATAAAAAGCTTATTTATAAAAAAAATATTTGCGTAATCACTGGTCATGTTAGCCCGCACGGCTGGGTACAAACTACCACTTTTTCAATGGTGTTAGAACCTCTTGGGAGTCCGCACGGGTAGGTACCACCACCCCGCCTATTTCCGCCGTGAAGCAGTAATGCGTTTCGGTTCGAAGGGTGGGGTAGCCGTTGTAACTATAGTCGGATTTTTAATTAGACGAAGCTAGCTGACAGTAGCTAATGTCACTTTGTGAAATAATGTTGCTATATTTAAAGTAATAGTGATGCGTTCAGTTCTCGTTCAAACACAAATGAACAATGAGTGTGAAGAGTTAATCATTAATTTCAAACTATAAAAGAGTATTATTTATATTTTACAATAAAATTGTATTAGAGTGCTCCAATATATGTTGCTAGTAGTATGTAACTACAATCAGCTTTTTTATTTTCATTACCTACCTATAATTGTTATATTTTATACATCTATAATTTCAACTATATGATGTATTGGAAATATGACANAATAAGGAATCGTTAAGTGAAATCCCTCGAGCGTCCTTAGCAGAAGCATCGAAAACCACCCTCAATTGAGTAGTTGAACTGCCAGGACGAAAAACACAATGATGAGGAATGTAATATTTTCCCTTATGCAGGTCGGTGGCTGAGACACGACTCATGTGACCATTATTTAAGTAGTCCAGCATGAAGTCCGAATACTGCTCATGAAGGTTTGGGCTTGAAAGAAGTCTTCGCTCCAATGAATGAAATCTTCGCAATGCATTTTCACGCGAACCCGGAAACTGTAACTCCCCATCCCTCTGCCTAAACGGCAAAGAAACGATGTACCTTCCAGATGTACCTCGAGCGGGGGTTTCAGTGAAAAGTTTCTCACATTGCTGCTCGTCCGGCGTTAGAACGGATGATTTAGGTATGACCTCCAACTCCCACAGTCTCCTCAATTCCTCATGGAGAGGAGTATCGTGTTCTCTTAGAAAAAAAGAATTTGAGTGTTTTGTCTCATCCCTGCATTTGACACTTCCCATCAGGATCCATCCGAAGATGGTGTTCAGGGCTGAGGGTTCATGAGGACTACCTGAAATATTTCCGGGTAGTAACAGCGTTGAAAACATTTCAGCACCGATAAGCAGATCTATTGGTCCAGGCTTATTATAATTCGGATCAGCCAGTCGCAAATTACGTAGGTGTTCGCATGAAGAAAGATCAAGATCAAGTCGTTTATAGGATTTATCCGTTTTAAGCAGTGATATCGAGGCGCTACTCGGCATGGGAAGCTCTGTCATTCTGGCGGGCGACCTAAATTGTAAACACATCAGGTGGAACTCACACACCACAACCCCTAATGGCAGGCGGCTCGACGCGTTAGTCGATGATCTCGCCTTCGATATCATCGCTCCGCTAACCCCGACTCACTACCCGCTAAATATCGCGCATCGCCCGGATATACTCGACATAGCGTTATTAAAAAACGTAACTCTGCGCTTACACTCGATCGAAGTAGTTTTAGAGTTAGATTCAGACCACCGCCCCTTCATTATGAAGCTCGGTCGCGCTCCCGATTCCGTTCCCGTCACGAGGACTGTGGTGGATTGGCACACGCTGGGCATTAGCCTGGCTGAATCTGATCCACCATCGCTCCCGTTTA